TTTGTGGCCCGCTGAATATACCTAAATTTCTAATTTGGCCCATTATGAGAAAAAGGTTGGACGACGACCTTGGTCTAACGCTTATTTCTCAAATCTGTGGTCCGTATATTACACTTAGGGAATAAGACATATTTGATCTCGAATGGGGAATTGAGAAACGCCACTTCCTATAGAGGAGACTCGGAGTTTCGGCGAAACAGGGATTGATGTTTGTTTACGTTTGTGTTGGCCGTATGCGCTTTACTTTTTCCACCCGTAAACCTGTTAGAATTCCATGTTTTTGTACGTTATTACGACGTTACCGTTGAATAATGTGTTAGAACATAGAAGGATTAGGCAAAATATATTAATGGCAAACTTGAAAACTTTATTAGAAATAAATGTACCCATCATCATGAAGTTTAATAACACTTGATAATTTTAATGAATCGTATACATTCTGAACTTAAAAAATGTGTTTGTAAGCCTGTTTAAATGCTGTAGTAATTTCAATCTGATTAAGATAGCAAATTTGTAACGTTTGGTTCTTTAAGGGTTTAACATAACCTTCTGTTATTGATGTCATTCCCTCAAAATAAATAAAATATCTAAAGATATCAGATCTACAGTATAAAATATACTTTTGCTTCAATCAACTGAAGTAGAAATATTTCTTAAAAGAGTGCATAAATATGTTCCAACGAGGTGATGCTTAGTACAGTCGACCCCCCTATAAGATCATAGATACGTTCCATTCTTTAGGAATCCGATTTCTTACGAGTCCTTCCAATCACAGCCCGACACGTGTCAAGTTTACGGACTACTGCTATTTGAAAGGTTTTCTTCCATAAAATTAATCGATTCTAGACTAATCCGACTCAACATTTTCAAAATACGTATATTTTTTTTGGGAATAATCCGTTTAAACTACGCTATAAACAAAAAATTGTAGGATTACTTACCGAGTGTGCACCGCCATTGCTAATGCTTGTTCCCTCCGCGACGAAAACAAGCATTAGCAATGACGAAAGTTTTCTGATGATTTATTTTTCTGCGAAAACTTCGTTGAACTTCGGAGACATCATTAATATAAATAATTTTTATCGCCGTTGAATAAGAAATGTTTCTTTCACAAGAAATGTATAAAATTACAGTACTGTATTAGACTTACGGTNATTAAGTTAATATATAATTAATTGTAATAAAGTTACAATAAATTAAGTTAATATATAATTATATGTACAGTGCCTAATTTATATATAATTTATATAATACTGTCCAGACGATAGAAATCTCTCCGTAGCGTGGCGCTACGGACGGCGGGAAAGTAGTTCGGCTGCCCGATGAAGTTTTACGTAATTATAGGAGTTTTTTTACGGATACCGTCACAATTTTTCGCAGTTTTATAGGAATCGTAATTATAGGGGGGTCGACTGTACTGCATATCCCCATCTCGTTGTAATTTCTAAACTAACAGGATCAAACACCAATTGATTGGAATAAACAATTTGCGAATCTGGGGCATTTCCGGACTAATTCACAAGTCATATTCCATGGTTCTAAAATATTTATATCCATGACCTTGCGTATTAAATTGTTCGTAGACGGGAACAAAATATAAATTTCATATTCGTTACGCGATAAAGAGTGATAGTGAAATTTACTAAGTTATAATGTGATAAAGCTTTAAGAATTTAAGTTCATTTACTCTAAACTTTTTTTATATAGCGATAATATAAATTTATATAAAAACAGTACAAATTCTTTATAATACAATATTTTTCATCATTCCAAGTTTACAATGTCTGCAACATTTCTAGTTTCACTCGATTATCCATCGGATGTCGGGTCGAGCTATGGCGCTTATCTACAGAAGACATTAGAGTAACGAAACCCTACAGTTATATTTTTATTCGAATACCAATGAGGATTAGCTGGTAATCTGACTTCGAGTTACATCTAAACTGGAGTTCGTTAACTCTTCATTTAATCCAAAGTGGAAGGTATTCAAAAGCATTTCCAAGTTCACAAAACTTCAAATTATGGAATTACCATTATTTAATAAGGGCATAAAATTGTATTGCAAACAACGTAAGAATGAGCGGACACGAATTTACTATTTAGCACCTTCAAAGTCAGACACACAAAAATGTAAAATAAAAGTAAGGACGTATGCAAGTTTTTTTCCTTTCGAAATGCACCTCCACACCCAAATTAATTGGGAAAACCAGTTTTTATTCAAATTTGAACATAAAAAGTTTCATATTTTCTCTCAAAATCGCACATAGAACCAAGTTCGGATTCTAGAACAGAAACTTATTTTCAATCGGGTTAAAAATCACGATGTTTTTGAACCTTTGCAGGAAAACATTTCAATTTTATGTATAAATGTTCGTTTGCTCCGCGAACTCGATGTACTGTACTTGTTCCCAATGTGCAGTATACTATTTGTAACAAAAATTTCGTGACGATTCATCGATTCCCGGTTCCACTGTTTCCTTTCGAGGCAGAGATAGTATCGTGGCGATTTCAATCTATGTATTTTATATACGTAGGCCTATGTACAGGATTTTTAACCGGAGCGCTGTAACGATACTTGGGGTGACGAGTAATTTAGTTTTTAATTGTTACACTTTATTCCTTTTTAATTTATAATGTTTGTGCTGTATAAGGAAAGGAATCCTAGATTTCGGGTGGACTTTTAAATGTACAAATTCATTGAATTTATGAGAGTTACATTGAATGAAAATAGAATTTCCTTTGATGAGGTTTAACTTATCCAGATTTAACAGTATCTTGTGTTTTATTTCTTTGTGTTTCGAAGACACTTTTCTCTGTAAACCACTTCATTTTTATTGAATTTTTTGATAAGAGAATTATAGTTTCTTGAGATTTTTTGCTTATTTTCGTATAAATACTTCTTTGATTATAGATGTGTTCCCAGGAAGCGAGTATGTCTAAGCATTAATCATAAAAGCTGTAAACAGTACGACTGCGGTTGGTATTTGTTTTAATGTATTTCATAAAATAGTTAAAATTCTGTGCTAATTTTTTTTCTTTTCGCTTTATTAACTAGTCGACATAGAGCAAAATTGCAACCTACAATTAAATTCTCCCGTCTGCGATACCGAAAATATTGAACATAACAATCTATGTTGGTTACTACAAAAACAAAAGCTTCTGGCATATTATGGAAAATGTATGGTAAGGAAAACTTTTAATATTAAATTATCACAATTTGCAGTTAGCTTTTTTATAATGTGTAGTTTAATAAATAGCATCACTGCCGAAGTAACGGAGTGGTGTGTGGACACAACGGAGAGACATACAATAGCGAATGTGCGGCGTGGGCCGAAAGAGTTTCGGTGGATTACATGGGCCCTTGTGTTGCCGTGGGAGCCTTCGGTAAGCATTTTTTTGTCAGTTAAATTTATAAACGTCTGGAAATGAAGTTATCTGCGCAATAAATATAAGAAAGTTTGCATCAGCAAAATTAAAATTTGTTAAATCTTTCGGTGATTTTCGTATGAGACATCACAAAATGATCTAAGCAGAGAGCTTACATTCTCTCAATTCTTTTATCGAAACATTTTCAAAAAATGTTTTAAATTGTTTGAAAGATGTAGACACGTGTTATCGAAAAATATACATTATAATAAATTTATAAAAGAAATAAGTAGTATATTAATATTATTGAATCAACGAGTTTTTTTTACTCTTTCCGCTCTGTGGGCACTAAGAGGGCCTCTATGCAAGCCCATTATGGGTTTGGCCAGGCCAACAATGAGGCTGCCGGGTGGTGAGGGACGGGGCCCGACATATCCGAACGGACCACACCCCGAAAAATACCTGGGGATTTTTCCACCCGTTCGGATTCGAACCCGGGTCCCCCAGGGCGGTAGGCTGTCACCTTGACCGCTCGGCCATCCGGCCGCTTGAATCAACGATTAGAATACGTTGCCAGATGTGAGAGCTTTCATATGGCAGTTTGTGTACTGATCAAAGAATTTTCAGAAGCAGGTGGCTGTAACTAACTATCCGCAGCCTATTCTTACCGAGATGCAGGAAGATATAGAAAGAGGATGAAGAATTAGCTTTTCACTTGCTAATGCCCACACAGTGAAAGAGTAGACACGAGTCAGCCTGAGCTGGAAAAGTATGTAGGAGCGATTCTACATAGGGACTAATATGGCTTAAGTCCTGGGTCCCCCAAGTGTCAAGGGCCCGCAAAAAATTGAATCATCATAAATTTTTAATACTTTTCATTAACAATGAGCACTTATCGTATAGTAAAATATAGTTAATAATAATACTATAAATTATCATTATTGTAATATTATTATTTTAAATTCCAATTTATTTAAAAATTCTTAATCAAACAAAAAATGGGGTTCCATTGGACTTAGATAAGCCCTAGCCCGAAAAACCTAGATCTCTGGGTCTATGTCAGATGAAAGGGATAGAAGGAGACAAGTGGTTATTTTTATGATCGGAGTAGATGGTCAGTGTAGGCCACACTGACTAACTACTGCTACAACTAATGCCAATAAGTGGTTAATTCTCTTATTGTTTTGTAAGCGAAAACTCTGTTCCCGATTTTAAATCGGTCAAATTACAATACTATTATTATTATCGGAAGAAAGTTTTCTTTAACTAGTTTTGTTATATTTGATTAATTTCATATTTCAGTCGCAGTTTAGCCGGCATGCCAGTTTCCCGCGAAATTACGATAATCATTAATTCACAATACATTTTCCCGCCAAAATAATTTACCAATTCCTAGATGAATCTGTCAATCCCAAGTAACAATTTTAAGTATTCAAGTATTTTTAATGCGTGAAATGCCCGCTTAATTAATCGTGTCACACGTCTCACGTCACATTTATAATACTGAAATTATTACGAATCACTTGTGAAAGAATGGTGTAAATAAAGCAGTTAATTTTGATTCACAAACGAAATTTGCTAAACGATTCACAGATAACTTTCCTAAGAATAAGTTCGAATTAATTTTCCAGACGGCTCTACAACTACGAGATGTAACAGTATCAAGTGTTCTCCTTTACCGTCTAAATATTGTCCGCACGTGTATCCACCAGGAGGATGTTGTCCGGTGTGTGGTAAGTAAAGTTAACATTTCATCCGCTCTAACATTTGAATGCGTCGTTTTAACTGCTTTTTTCGCGAAGGTGCGGCGTTACGTTTGTTATTTACTCGAAAGATGACAGATTGGATAGTGGAAACAATCGGTAACGTAGAGCCAGTCGTGGTTCAAACACTGGCAGAGAAGTTACGCGAGCACGTAAAGATCTTGGAGTGCGACGTCTTTGCGTATCTGAGCGTAAAATCGGACATCATAGCTCTGATCGTCACCACAATGGATCATCCCACTAAAGTTCAAATCGAATCTTGTATAACGGAAGCTAAGAAATTGGAATCGCTGATACAGAAATCTTCTCCCACTCTGTTAACTGATTTGTCCTTATCGTTTATTAGCGGTGCCACCATGATCGAACCCATAAATTGTTCTTATAAATTAGACAGTGCTGTGATACTTCTGCAATTGTTAACTGTTTTCTGGTGCTATGTATATGTAATATAAATATTAGCACTTTAAATCGAGATTTTTTAATATAAATTTTAAACAAAAATGTAAAAAGTTTTTGTAATAAAATTTATATTATTATGAAAATGCTCTAGGCTTTTCTTTAATTAAAAAATAATTGTTGTAATTTGTAGTGTAGCTCGAAGAAATTGCCAAGATATTTATCATCCGTTGTATATTAAAATTTTGTAAATAAAGCATAGACAACATTGGCGAGAGTCCTGGAAAATGATTCATTGGATAAAAGGACAATCCTTGCACATCTTTCGTAAACCAATTTAGTTTCATTTTTGCTGGGCATAAAATTCATAAAATTTTTACAATCGTTTTCAACTTATTATAGGCAATCGTCGGTTTTAATATTATTTAATATTGGCCATAATAATAAACTTCATGATGGAGTATATTGAATAGGTTGAAAACGTTTGTAAAAATAAAAGAATTTTAAGTTCAGCAAAAATTAGGTGTTGGTGAAACTGAATTGAATTATTTGCTGAGAAAATGATGGAATACTTTCGCAAACCTTCATTGACAGTTGAAAGATCCAATGAAATGCGGTCTATCTGCCTACCAAATCACTTGTGGAAGGAGTCGGAAATTTCGAGATGATGATCGTGTAAAGGAAGGATTTAGTTCCCGTCGTGTCATCGAAAGGAAAAGTTTAATCGTGGGGTCCAAGCGAGGTATAACAACTTTATGCATCTTGAGTGGAAGTCCAACTGCCTCCCCGTGTATCTATGGTCTCATCCTCTCACGGAACCACGTAAGTGTCTATAAACCTCAAGTGTTTAAGTAGCGATTTGACTCTATTGTCACACAAATTGTCCAATATTTTAATTTAGATTCATTAAATTGACTTCTTTAACGGGAAGTTTTCGGGTCTAAAATACATCTCCAAAATAAATTGTTTATTAATTTAAATGTAGCAGTGAATATTTGCCTTTGGTCTTCTACTTCAAGAGGAAGACCAAAGTAAAACATTCCGTGTCGTTTACACACGGAAAAAGCCCTCACATTACTAAGCCATCTTGGAATAGGTATGGATAAGCACTTATAAAGAAGTTTTTTTTATTCAAACAACACTACATCTCAAATTTAATTAAGGCTATACTTTGCTGGATGCATTCTGCCTTGGTCACACAGACGGCATTTTAAACTATTTCAATTAGGTAGATATCATCAGGAGGTAGGAGAAGCGAAGGACTTGACATAGTGCAAGTACTCAAAGCTCTACAAAACATTGATATGCTGGCAGAGGCGCTCTTATCATCACACACGATATTTAACAGTGCTGTATTAGACTATAAATAGAAATCCAATGGAAAGGAATATTTTTCTTAGTTAGGCAGGTTTTAGTTTCACTTAAGCCTTCAAAAAGCTAGAAAATCTCAGTTCCGAAGAATTTATTCCGTTTAGACAGATTTTACTTTATTTGTAAAATTATAAGTAAATTATTAAAAATTGGCATTTTATAAACTACAGATTGATTGAAAAGTCTTCGTACAAAACAGACGCCCTATGGAACTACTCGCAATTTGTATGCACACAATAATAAAATAAGTGTAGACACATAGAACATATTATATTACTTACGAAGTGAGCCTTTCGCCTATGTATGAAAACTTCCGATTCGTTCCGTAATATCACTGATAATTAAAGAAGAGAAGGCGCAGAAATAAACTAAAGCTGCAACTTAAAGTTCGAACATAGGAGCGTTTTATGCGGTTTCCTGATTGGATAACCTACATTAATCTGATATAATTGCACCGAAAATTTGGCTGGTACTGCAGCAGACACTTGTAAGAACTGACATTTCACTCTTATTTTTACCGATCAATTGTGTTATAAGACTCGCTTCCTGTGAGTTAATAATTAAGTTTAACAAGATTTTTCTTATTACAATAAAGTATTTGTAATATAATTAAGTTTAGTTTATTATAATTTAAACTTTTATAAAAATTTTAAATATAACAATTAATATATATCTTATAATCATACAAAATGTTGATTGTTTATTTCGTTTCTAAAGTAATAATAGTATTTCATACATAAAATATTAGAGGCTTTCTTCTTTTTCCATATGCTTTCCTTCGTCCTCTTTCTAAGCTCTTCTAGTTTATATCACGTAGCATCTATTACAGTACTACAAGTATTAGTATTAGTAGGTAGGTAGAAGCCGATGAACATCTTCCCATAGATATGTTTATGCTTGGTCCTATCGCTGCTTCAGACACATTCGTACTTCAAGCAATAGCAGCTAATTACGTTTTCGAGTATCTAATACTAGTATCATCTATACTAATATTATAAAGAGGTAATGTTTGTATGTTAGTTTGTATGCAGCAGGTAATCTCAGAAACTACTCATCCGATTTCAAAAATTCTTTCACCAATATTTAGAATGGAACCTCAGAGTGGACATAGGCTGTATAATATTCCGTTAAACTTTCAAATAAATTAAATGATATCATCTATGGTTAAGGCTTTTATGTCCAACAGATGGCGCTACGAGTACGACGCCCTAAGTTTGCTTTTCTGCGAGGCATTA